AATAGAATAGAATAGAATAGAATAGAATAGAATAGAATAGAATAGAACAGAATAACGTTATTGTCACTTTGAACGTACACTAATTGGCATACATTAAAATGAAATTTCATTGCATACACCTCTCAAAGGATCACCACCTCCAATATACACTACATAACCAGGACAAAACAAACAAGTAAATAAATGCAAAATTATGCATATACCCACATATATTATATGACACAGAGAAACAACACAATCTAGTTCAGATGTATACATGTACATGTTGAGAAAAATGAATCTTATGAGTTTATTAGGTGGATGGCATAGGTAACAAAGCTGTTACAGAATCTGGTATTCTGCTAGAAATACTTAGAAAACTCCTCTCAGAGAGGAGCAACAGAAACAGACTATACGAGGTCTCTAGCAATGCTTTGAGCTCTAGTATCCTGAATAACAAGAAGCCAGCTTCCTATAATTTTCTCTGCTGTCCTCAACACTCTCTGTAGGGACTTTCTAGCTGAGCCAACAAACCAAACAGGGATGCAATTTGTTAAAATGCTCTCAATTGTGCACAAGCAGATTGTCATGGCAAATTTCGTGGGATTTCAGTTGCAATTTTTGACTTCAGGATCACAGAATCTACCCACCCATCCCCCATTCCAAAAGATGGTGTAAATTGCCCCAATCTTTGTATCCATAAGGAGTTGCTAGTACATGCAAGGCTACACACTGGTTAAATGGCATCAGTTTAGAGACATGAACTGGAGTTTCCAGCCAAGCATCCTTAAAAGTTTCTTGCTGACTCTTGCAATGAAAAGGACAAACATAATCAACTGAACACTATTAATAAATTCAAACTAATATGTGATCCACAGAGTGGAACATCAATCTTCAAAGCTTTCTTTTATTCCAAAGCAAGCTTCTTTCTATAGCCTCTTGGGAAGACATACAAAGGTGAGCTTTGGGCCAAATGCTCATATGTACCGAGGTTTAATAGAAGGACTGTCGCAGGGGAATTTTATGATTGGCCTGGTGCGAAAGATTTCCATCACAGAAATAAGCAGCTCAACTTTCCACTTAAACAAAAGAAAGAAAAGTGCTTATTTTTAATACGTTGGGATTCATCAACAAAGCTAGTTTGATCAACCTGAACCTGGGTCTGTTTGCTTCTACTGGAATCAGATATCCAGTACTGTAACACTATGTGTTATGAAGCTAATATTATAGCAGAGCAAAAAAGCAATACCATCTGTGCTGAATGGCCCCTCTTTCACTCTTGTTATTATTATATGCACAAATGTGAAGTCGCAGTTGCCAGTTCTTTAGCTTGGTGTTGGCTTTCATATAGATTGGGTTCTTCCCAAGAACCTAGGGTATGTTGCAATTTCCACCTGGTTTCTGACAAGCGAAGCGAAGGAAGGAAGCCACAATTGTGGTCACCTGAGTGGTGCAAATGGGTGTGGAGCCTTCTTGGAACTGCAGAAAGGAATATGTTGTGGAGCTGTGCTTTCTGCAGGATGTTTTCGGCCCTGTGTCCCTTCACTGTTGAACACAGGTGCAGGCTGTTGGGAATGAGTCTGTGTTGTCTGCATCTACTAAGGTGACCCTAAGGACAAAGATAAACCTCCAAGTGGCCTCAGTGACTCTCTAAAAGGATGCAAATGACCAGCTGTCTGCAAGGAATATAAATCCTTCCATTCCCCCACCATCCAGTCAGAGCTGAAGAAGCTTCTTGGATGAAAAACAAAATGTCTTCAAAGAAAAATCAGAAAGTCCAGTTGTCTCTTGGAAAAAAAAAAACACCTTTGGGACTCTACAAACAAGCTGAAGAAACAGTGAACCACCTGGTTAGCTGCTGCAAAAAAAGATGACATAAACTGACTACAAGCAACAACATGAAAAAATACAAATAATCCTAATGGATAGAAACTCAGAGAAGCAACCCAGAATGAAGGAGAAATTTCCTGACAGTCAGAACAATTAATCAGTGGAATGACTGGCCTACAGAAGTTGTGGGTGCTCTATCACAGGAGGTTTTTGAAAAAAGAATGGACCACCACTTGTATGAAATGGTATGGGGTCTTCTGCAGTTAGACTAGAAGACCTCCAAAGTCCCTTTCAACTCTATTATTCCATTCACAACTGGAACCAGAATTTCCATTGCTAAGCAAGGCGATCATTGAATGAGTCACACCTGATTTTAGGTATTATTTCCCCCTCCCATTAGAGTCTTGGGATTTAAGAGCCAACCAGCAATAATAGTTTCCAGATGTGGCTGATGAAATGAAGGTGATTCAGCATAGAACAGGTATTTCCCTTTAAGACTGGGGATTAAAGGTCCCTTTAGAAGGTGTTTATATATTGCAGCCATTAGAGGGTGTGGTTCTCTCTCCTTGTATCCAGTATTCATTTGCAGAGTTCTCCGTGTAGAGTTAAGAAGAGTGATTGCTTGTAAGGTATTTGCCTGCCATGTTTATTTCTGTATATATCTGTTATGGATAAACCACTGTTAAATATCCAAGTCTCTGTGTTCTGTGTTTTGCTCCTGGGTTATCTCATAATAGCAGTCACACTGCAAACGCTCTGACATCATTGTGGTTGTTAAATTAAGTGATTCTGGCTTCCCTCATTCACTTTGCTTCTCAGAAACCAGATGGGAATTACAACATACCCTAGGTTCTTGGAAAGAACCCAATCTATAACCCATTTCTCTAACAACAAACCTAGCTAATCAACACAATCCCAAATCAAAGTTTCAGAGACCCTCTGGGGTCCAATGGTTAGAATGCAGTACTGCAGGCTACTTCTGCTGACTACCAAATGCTTGCAATTTGGCAGTTCGAATCCCACCAGACTCAAGGTTGACTCAGCCTTTCATCCTTCTGAGGTGGGTAAAATGAGAACCCAGATTGTTGGGGGCAAGAGGCTGACTCTGTAAACCACTTAGAGAGGGCTGGAAAGCACAGTGAAGAGGTATATAAGTTTTAAGCGCTATTTTTTCCACCTCGAGCATGAAGTCCAGAAATGGTAGAAACCAAATGAATTGCATTCTTTTCTTTTCTGGTTTGGCTCTGCAACTCAACAAGATAGACATAGACTTCAGAGGATAATTAGGACTGCAGAAAAAGCAATTACTATCAACCTGGCTTCCATGGAGGACATGTATCCTGCTCGACTCAAAAAGAGGGCTGTGAAAATATCTACAGACCCCTCACATCCTGGACATAAACTGTTTCAACTCCTACCATCAAAACAATTCTATAGAGCACTGCACACCTGAACAACTAGACACAAGGACAGTTTTTCCCTGAACGCCATTACTCTGCTAAACAACTAATTCCCTTAACACTGTCCAACTATTTACAAAGTCTGTGTTACTATCACTATTAATCTTCTCATCACTCCTTATCATCCATCCCCTCCCACTTGTGAGTGTAGGACTGTAACTTTGTCACTTGTATCCTTACGATCTATATTGACTGTTTTCCTATGATTTGATTGCTTATTGTACCCTATAACTATTATTAAGTGTTGTACCTGATTCTTGACTTTTGATGAATGTATCTTTTCTTTTATGTACACTGAGAGCATTTGCACCGAGACAAATTCATTGTGTGTCCAATCACACTTGGCCAATAAATAATTTCTATTCTATTCTATTCTATTCTATTCTATTCTATTCTATTCTATTCTTCTTTAAGCAAAGCAATCAATGTAGCCATCTCTGCCAACTTGGCCAACATTTGCAGCCATTAAAATCATGGAAATTAGTTACCTGGAATGACACGCTACTTCACTCTCTTGATCTGGAGAAACATTCACTCTGCAAACCATCATCTGCCCACAACTTTCCCCCCTCCTTGGTGACTTCTCTTTGTCCCATGGCTCAATTTGTTTATATCACCCCATCCTTTCATTCTCAGCACCTCCTGATTGAAGCCTCCCCAATCCTGGCTTGTTTGGACTTACTGATCATAAGAGAGACTGTGTTTGCACTGGGGTTGAAAGAGCAGCGTCCCTTTCCTGATTCCCCTTTGGAGTCGATCTTGAAAACTTGCTCCTGTAAGAGAGAGAGAGAACAAGCAAGACTGTGAATGTGAAGTTTAATATGCCTGATCAGGATCCAGTTCTGTGAAAAGGTAGCCGGAGTTAAGATTAGCAACTGTTAATTTTTCATGTTGCATCTGGAACAGAAAGAGCCATGGTGACGCAGTGGTGAGAAAGCAGTATTGCAGGCTAACTCACTGGCCACAGCCAGGAGTTTAATCCTGACCAGCTCAAGGTTGACTCAGCCATCTGTGTGTCCAAGGTCAGTAAAATGAGGACCCAGATTGTTGGGCATAAGAGGCTGACTCTGTAAACTGCTTAGATAGGGTTGTACAGCACTGTAAAGTGGTATATAAGTCTAAGTGCTATTGATATTGCTATCTTCCTTCCTTCCTTCTTTCTTTCTTTCTTTCTTTCTTTCTTTCTTTCTTTCTTTCTTTCTTTCTTTTTTTCTTTCTTTCTTTCTTTTTTGGTAAAATGTGGACCCAAATTGTTGGGCAATATGCTGACTCTGTAAACCATTTAGAGAGGGCTGTAAAGCACTGAAAAGTGGTATATAAGTCTAAGTGCTATTGCTATTGCTATCTTCCTTCCTTCCTTCCTCCCTCCCTTCCCTTATCTTCCCTACCTTTGCCTTTTTCCTTCCTTCCTCCCTCCCCTTATCTTTCCTTCCTTCCTTCCTTCCTTCCTTCCTTCCTTCCTTCCTTCCTTCCTTCCTTCCTTCCTTCCTTCCTTCCTTCCTTCCTTCGCAGTGGTTAGAATGTAGTTTTGAGGCTAACTCACTGCTGACTGTCAGAAGTTTGATCCTGACCAGCTCAAGGTTGAGTCAGCCTTCCATCCTTTCGAGGTGGGTAAAATGAGGACCCAGATTGTTGGGGGCAATAGGCTGACTCTGTAAATGATTTAGAGAGGACTGTGAATCATAATGGAGCAGTATATAAATCTAACTGCTGTTGCTATTCCTTCTCTCCTTCCTGGTGGTGCAGTGGTTAGAATGCAGTATTGCAGGCTGACTCTGCCCACTGCCAGGAGTTCGATCCTGACTGGCTCAAGGTTGATTCAGCCTTCCATTCTTCCAAGGTGGGCAAAATGTGAACCTGGATTGTTAGGGGCAACAGACCAACTTTGTAAACAACTTAGAAAGGACTGTAAAGCACTGTGAAGTGGTATATAAGTCTAAGTGCTATTGCTATTGCCAGCCTTTTAACCTATCAGCCATCCCTCCATCTCAGATCTAAAGATGGTGACATATGCCTATTTTAAGTTATAATTCTGTCTTCATCCTAGCTCCAAAACATATCAAAACACTCAAAATGATCCGTGCTTTTCAAAATTGGTGCAAAGTGGTTGTGACACAAGCATTTTAGCTGCCAACATTAATAAGGAGGTAATTTACAATCACCCACACTCATAAAGGAGGCCATTAAAGCACACCACCTATGAATGGGCTGTTACGTCCACTGTGAATAAAAGTTGCAATATGATGAATTAGCAATGGCAGCATTAGCACCTGCTCGAACTGTCCATCAAGGGGGCATTTCATAATAGGAATGCCACCGCTGTTCCATAATGTGATATAGATTGGGAAAGTACCAGTAGAAGGGAATGTTTGTAGCTCAGGGTTGAACTGAGGGCTCCTTGGTGCTTGGTGGTTTTCTTGCAGATGTTTCATGACCCAACTAGGGAACATCATCAGTGCTAGAAGGGAGGAAGAGGAGGAGGAGGACGATGACTGTGGGGTACTTGGTGCTCTCTGATCTTGCTTGTTTTCTTGCAGATGTTTCATGACCCAACCAGGAAACATTGACAGCACTAGCATAATATTAACTAGTTCAGCGGTCACCAACCAGTGGGCCACGAGAAAATTTTGGTGGGCTGCAGAGAAATGTCACCCCCAGAGCACCCCCCCCCCAAAGCAATTAAATCAGGCTGTGCAGAAACACAAGGCTGTGCCGCCCACATGGTCCGCAGGAACCCTCCCTGCCCACTCACTCCTTATCCAGTAAACTTGCCTGCTAAATTTCTGTTTTTCCTTTTTCGGACCATCATCTGTTCTGCTGTGCCGGGAGATTTAGATTAGTTAGGAAGTGGATTTCTTGCTTTCTAGCTAGTCTTTAGATCTTCGGCTCTGCTTTTAAGCACAGCCAAACCTCCTTTACGACTGAAGGTTCTATTATTCAGTTCAGACTCACGGCAAGCAAATTTGAGAGACTGAGCTAGCCAATGGCAGATAAATAGATCTCTGAATGAATCTGTGATTCTGTGAGCAACTCAATCTGCCTTCCTGCTTTGCCTGATTTTGGGTAAAAGATGCTCTTTTTTTAAAAAAAAAATCAATATTTATATAAATATTTAAAATATTTACATACAAGCCATGCTTAGCCAGTCACAAGACCACCGAACCACACCCACAAATTAGGTCATGCCCCCAGAACCAGTTAGTGGTTCCTGGGATTTAAAATTGTGAGTTTGGTGGTCCCTGAGGTCCAAAAGGTTGGCTACCCCTGATCTAGTTGGGTCATGAAACATCTCCAAGAAAACCAGCAAACTCAGAGAGCACCAAGAACTTAGGAGTATCAAGGTTTAGCTAATTTTTCAACAGTTTGATGTCAGCTATCATGCAAAGTCAGCTTATGATCTCATCAGACAAAACTAGAAAAAAAACTTTCTTTCTTCCTTCCTTCCTTCCTTCCTTCCTTCCTTCCTTCCTTCCTTCCTTCCTTCCTTCCTCCCTCCCTCCCTTCCTCCCTCCCTCCCTCCCTTCCTCCC